TATCGGTTCCCTCTGTAAAATCTGTAAATTTTACTGTTCAAGCCCGAAAATCATCAACCCTTCACTAAATTTTCTCATACAAAGTTCCTTTCATACTACCAAACTTAACTACAACCATTTTAACTAACTTCTATCATTTCAACACTTTATTATTTCCAATATTTCATTCAAATTCTTAAAACTAAGAATCATACCCAAATTTCAAACATGTTATTAATCAATCTAATACTCTATATTCCTTAATTAACCTCTTGACAAGTCAAAAATCTTATTCAAACCTCAAAAACTCATCTATATCAAAATTTCATCTAAAACCCCATTTTTCAAATCTATCTCTAAAATATTTATCTTGTTGTTTTAATGTCATATAAGCTTTCCTTTAGCTTATATAACCTCCAAACTTCAATTTCCAAGCTAAAAATCAAAGAAACGACCAAGGTTTAGATTCTTACCTTAAGCTTGGGTCTTCACGTTTAGAAGAAGAGAAGAGTGAAGAAGATAAGAAATCTGGAAACTTATCTCTTCAATTCATTCACATGGGTATTATAATACCCACAATTTATTATTTTATTCCTTTATTTGCTCAATGACCCTTTTACCCTCTTATTTCTCATTCACTTATTAATCAATCCTACACCAACATCTTTCAATTAATTCCTTCACTTTTCAATTTATTTAGTTTGGTCATTGAATAAAAAAAATATCTTACACTTAAATCACTAACCCGGTATTGAGGATTGTTGAGTTAATTGATTGACGGAATTGACCAAGAGGGGGGTGAATTGGCAATAAAAATTTTGGTGGAAGCTTTTGCAGAAAATTGAAAGAAATTGCACAGCGATTTAGAGTGGTTCGACTTTCTCAACCAAAGTCTACGTCCACTACCTTAGCTATCCACACTAAGGATTTTCCACAAATTCACTAATTTGTCTTTCTTTTGAGGACAAAGAGTAACCTTACAAACCCTCAAGAATTATACCCCAAATTCTTGAGAACACTCTCTCCCAAAGAGAACAATACAAATTTGCAAACTTACAAGAAAATCCTCACAAGGTAGATTGTTTGCACAATTCTAGAACAAAGAAAAGAACACTCAAGAATGAATACAATTGAGCACAATAGGTGTTCTTGAAAGCAAAATGAATATTGAATGAAAAATAGGCTTGAAATGCTCAAACTTGAGGTTTGATGCTTTCTCTTTGATTCTCTCTTGATTCTAGTTGCTTGATGTTTCTTGTTTTTGATCAATGGCTTCTAAGCTTGCTTAAATACACCTTTAATCACTTCTGAACGTTGGGGATTATTAATGGAGTCAATATAGCCGTTTAAGTGTGAAAACAATTAATTAAAATAGTTGGGAGCGTCAGTGCATCAATGCATACCCATGGTGCATCAGTGTAAAATTCAAATATTTGACCGTTGGACCCTTAGTGCATCGGTGCACTAAGAGTGCATCGATGCATCAAGTGCATTCGATGTTTTAAAATAGCCATAGTGCATCGATGCATTGCTGGTGCATCAAATGCATTCGATGTTTTCATAAAATCCTCAGTGCATCGGTGCATGGTATGTGCATCGATGCATGAAATGCATTCGATGTTCAATTTAATTCATGGTGCATCGATGCATGGATTGGTGCATCGGTGCATCACTCTGAAAAATTGATTTTAGGCTTGATTTTGGTTCAAAATACTTTGTGAAATTTGTTTCAAAAATATATTAAGTATAAATCACAATTTTACACATTTAGTAAGGTTTGAAATTGATCTTAAAAGACTTGGAGTAATAATTTGATACTCAATTAATTAAATCGAATATACTTAGAAAATCATTTGTAAAATCTTAAAATTCATTTAAATTTAATTTGTTATATCGAAACACAAAATGTTTTCAACAAGGATGTTACAAATCTCCCATTCTTAAGAAAATTCATCCTCGAATTTTCATTGCACGAATAGATAGGGGTACTGATCGCATATCCTCTTCACGTTCCTACGTTGCTTCTTCTACCTTATGATTTTTCCATAGTACTTTGACCAAAGGAATAATATTATTCCTTAGTTGTTTCACTTCGTGAGCTAATATTTGAACAGGTTCTTCCTCATAAGTCAAGTTAGGTCGAACCTCAATCTCTTCTGGTGTCACGATATGAGAGGGATCAGATCTATATCTTCGAAGCATTGAAACGTGAAAGACATCATGTATCTTTTCCATCTCAGGGGGTAAAGCTAGCTGATATGCCACAGGTCCTACTCTCTTTACAATCTCATAAGGTCCAATAAATCTAGGACTCAATTTTCCTTTCCGACCGAATCGCAATACTTTCTTCCAAGGAGAAACTTTTTCTCCAACTTCAAATTCAATTTCTTTTCTTTTGAGATCATAATAGGACTTTTGTCGATCAAATGCCACTTTGAGATTATGTTGAATTTCTCAAACTTTCTCTTCCACATCTTGAATCAAATCCGGACCAAGAACACTTTGATCTTTGAGTTCATACCAGTTTAATGGCGTACAACATCTTCTTCCATATAAAGCCTCATAGGGTGCCATCTTGATACTGGACTGGTAACTATTGTTGTAAGCAAATTAGGCAAGTGGCAAATATCTTTCCCATGATCCCTTGAATTCAATTACACAAGCTCTCAACATATCTTCTAGGATTTGGACCGTTCGCTCAGATTATCCATCAGTCTGGGGATGAAATAATGTGCTGGAGTTCAGTCGTGTGCCTAATGCTCCATGCAAGGTTTTCCAAAATCTCGAGGTAAAGCGAGGGTCTCGGTCAGAAACTATAAAAACAGGTACACCATGCAATCGTATAATTTCTCTAATGTACATTTATGCGTACTTATGGCTTATACTTATGGCTTATATAATAAATAAGTACCTAAAGTATACCATCTTTTCATTTAAGTACCAAAAGTTGTATTTTTGGTCAAAATAGATATCTAATTTTTTTGTCAAAATAGGTACCTAAAGTATTTATTTTTTTCATCTAAATACCTCAAGTATTCTTTAATTAATGTCACATTTCAAATTTTCTAGAATTTAGATTAAAAATTATTGAATAGTTAGGTACCTATTTTGATCAAAAAGATAACTTTAAATATTTATTTTGATAAAAAAAATACTTTAGGTACTTAAATAAAAAAGATAGTATATTTTAAGTATATATAAGCCTATACTTAATTGTATATTCTCAGGCGACCAACAGATGCCCAAGTCCTAAAAAATTCCGATAAAGGCTTCGTTTAGATACACGATTGATTTAATAATCAATATTTAATGCTTGTTCCTTGAAGTTGTTAAATGTAATAATTCATTAGTTGATAAGAAATGGTACAATTATAATATTTTAGATTTAATGTGATATATCACATGCAGGTAGATTGATAATCAATAAATTTACAAATGTCAAATGAATAAAGATCACAGCAATGACTATCCTAAGATAATAACATAATGATTTGGAACCTGATTTTTTTTAATATCATGTTGGGTTCAGTGTGATTAAAAAGACTGGCTATTTCATTGTCGGATATTGAGCAGCTGGCATTGTCTTCTCGAGCTGGTGCTGCGTTAATTGAGCAAAATATAAGGTAGACAACTGACTGGTCCTGTGATGTGGATTAGAAATGGAGTGGCTCATTCTGTATAAATTCTGCAACATTACCACCATATGATTTCAGCTTTGCAATTACTAAATAATTCATTTATGGCCCAAATAAACAGCATAATCTGGGCAAAACTAATCCCTATTCAGTGCCGAGTATATAGCTACGTAGCTAGGTTCTTAAGGCCCATATATGTTCAACCTGGCTGAACAATCTGGGCCTTTGTCAATAAAAATTACTCTCACTATATAGATATTGTTTTATTTTTTTAGGCATAATGCCAAAATTAGCCCCCAAACGTTTATAAAAATGGTCATTTTGTCCTCTATTCTATTTTTTTGGAGCATTTTGATCTTAACATTTCATTTTACGATAAAAAAGATCATAATATTTGACAGAATAATCACTTTGTCCCTTCTTCTTTTTTTATTGGGGCAATTTAGCCCTCAACGTTTGATTTTAGGTTAAAAAAACTCCTATTTTGGAATATTAAGTGCGTTAACTAATAGTTTTCCTCTATAAATGGAGCTTTTTGTCCCAAAGTGCTCCAAATAAAAAGAATAAGGATCAAAATGATCATTTTAATAAACATTGGGATTATTTTTGGAATTATGCCTATTTTTTAATATGAGATGAAAAAAATAGTTATGGAAGTTGGATTTGAAATTTAATTTTAATTAAAATAAAAAATGTCATACTAATAAATTACAAGTTTAATTAACACAATTATTTTTGGTATATGTGTATATTTATGACTCTTGATATAAATAAATATTTATTTTGACTAGTATGAGGTGATTATAAAATAATATTTTTTCATAATTTTCTTAACCTATTCACAACGCATATACATCCAAGACTTCTAGTGAAAATTACCTTCTTTTTCACCACTAAGATTCCTTGATGGGTTCATAAACAAATATATTTAATGTGTTTTTTAAGGTAAACTTGACTAATCCCATGAATACAATAATTGTCATTGACAATTACCTTGATAGCAAAGGAGAATCTGGCTATTATGAGACGAATATGTTTATCGACTTCCTCTATAGACTTGTTAGTAGAGAATCCTGCTCCAATAGATATGAATGATAATGTAAGATGGATCTGTATTAATGAATAGACATTGGTGAGTTACAATGCACCATTAATGAACAACCAATGAATTTTTAATTTTTCTAATATAAACCCCTTTAAAATTTGTATGGGTTATTAAGATTGTTTCATTACTTGCCTTCCTTTATTCCAAATAAATTGTGATCTGGATTTGAATTACATTTCTTGAGATTAAGTGAAATGTGGTCAATTGGAACAAGGAATTGAATTCTTCAAGCATACATGAAGTCATGGGTTATTTGTCTTTTAAAGTAATGCAGAGTGCAGCCCAATTGAGTGAAGAAAATTCCATTGATGGGACAAGAAGAAGAATCCAAGCTTTACAATTTGCCTATAAAACGAGAATAGGCATCTAATCTTCCTCTTCATCAGTGACAAATTTACCAGTCCCAGGGTTTATAGCAGCAAAGAAGAAGAAAGCGACGTTGAACAGCACAAGGGGTTCAATATCGTTAATGGGGATTCCAGTCTCAATGTTAAGTTGTGCCAGTGCTCCTTTCCCTGTAATAATTTATCCTATCAATGAGAAAGCAATCCCCAGCTGAGCCAATCTTCCAACAAAAAGCTCATTTGCCTTTGTGAATCCAAACAATGGACCTGAAACCACACGAATATGTTTATTTTATTTCTAAGCTTTTCATATTGAACTCTGACTATAAAATGGCAGAATATAGTATATATTACCTCCTTCTTTGAGACCCAGTGCTCCCCTAATGCCTTTCCCCGGCGGGATAACTGCACCTTCAATCCCTGTAGGAGGGTCATCCACGAAACGACCTCGGTCACCCAAAGCTCCAATGGCTCCAAGGAGAGTGAAAAGAATGAAGAAGAGAAGAAGGGGTTCTGCTTCATAAATAGGAATTCCTGTCTCCAGGTTCAACTGTGCTAGAATTCCTTTCCCTGTTATTGCTTCACCCAGCAACGATGCCTGCGATTTAGAAGAAAAAAAATGAAAAATCCGAGTAATATATGTAGTAATTAAGATAGAAGAAATCACTTACAGCAAAACCAATCATGGCAACACGTCCCACAAAGAGCTCATTTTGCTTGGTGAAACCAATCCCTCCTGAGGTGCCAAAGATCCCATCTTCAACCTTTGGCTTTGGCTTTGCTTCAACCTTAGGAATATAATAGAATGAAAATCAAAGGTAAATCCAACCAGAAAAGAAGAAAAAATTTGAAGAAAGTTACCTTCTTAGGAGCAGATTTGGTCTTTGCTTTAAAGATGGCAAAAGTGGTGAAAGCTTTAAATGGAGTATTAACACCATTAGACAGTGGAGTGAACAAGAAATGAGAAAAGGGTTTAGGCTTTAGTCCTTGAGCTTGGAAATGGAGCAAAGGGTGATCTCTCTTCAAGTTCAATGCATGACCACCAGTGCTAGACATTAGCAACATTGTTTGAGCCATCGATTCAGATATTTGAGTGTTTTTTTTAAAACACTATTGTTATCTTCTTCTTCTTCTTTTTCCTTGGCTTTTAGTGCAACGGATTTAAGGTTTTTTTTAAAGGACACAGATGTGGATGTGGTGCGAGAGCTAGTCACAGGCGGTGAGACTGCCCACGTCGTGCTGTACCTGTTAATTGTGATGCCGGATAATTTCATGCACAAATAATTATCGATCAGGACTTATTGAAATCTATTTTATTTGATCAAAACAATATTTAACAGGGATCGAAATCTCATTGATATTATGATTCACATAATGTTTAGGGGGGTTTTGTTTTATAAAAAAAAATGAATTAATCGATATTTGCAGTAAAAGAATTGTTATTATTTCTTGAGATTTTGAGTTTGAACACCATAAATGTCAGGATCTTAACGTTCAATGTCAAATACTTGAGAATTATCTTTAAACAGATATTATGTTATACTTAAACCATATTAATCAGAGAAAAAAAATCTGTGGTGAAGATGCAAAGTGTGATATAGACAAAAGACACGTTTGGGGTCTCACCCAAAGTTGAGTGGAAAGTGAGTTAATCGGCTGAGTTGTTGTCGATGTGAGCCACACGTACGGTTGGTGTTCTGTTCAGTGTTTCGTCTTCGTTGTTGTCTTGTGTTTCCCATTGTTGAAAAGATAAAAGACATGCGACAATGAGAGTGTGTAGAACATATTGTTCGCTTCGGATTTTGACAAAATTTTCAAGATTCTTTGGCACAACAAGAAAGCTCAAGCATTTTATGTTGTGTTAAAGGCCTCTGTGTGCTACTTTGGGTCTGGGCTGTTTGCTGTCAGAAAACGTTACTCTACTCGATCCATAAGCCCCGTACCATTCCTGGATTAATCTTTAAAGCATTTCATCTCAGCCCAATAACAAGGCTAGGCCATTAGTAATTACGCTACTCTTTTTGGATCGTTCTATTTTGTGCCACGAGAATTAAAAGTACAAACTTTCTATTGCAAATGAGTAATAAATTTAATTTTTATATTTTATTTAATTGTTTTTATTTTTCATATTTGAAATTTTAAAATTTAAATTTTTAATTAATCTTATTAAATATGTCAAGTTAAATTCTTTTATATCACTTTAAATTGATTTTTCTTAAATTTGTATACTGTTAGAATCTAATCTTAATTAAATGAAATAAAAAGTATACCATTGAATTTAAATAATTTTAAAGATTGTGTTCTATTATGGTAGATTTTTAATTGAAAATAAAAATATTCAAATTTTTATTTTTTTGGGTTTTTTTCTTTTCATTTTCATTGTTTTAAAACTTTTTTTTTAAAAAATGTGATTCATTATATAAATTTAGTTACAATTTTTATATAGTGAAATAAAATGTGGCATATCTTGTATGGATTATGTAGTTGTAGAATTAGTTACAGTTCAACAGTTAATAACTTATTTTAATTTTAATTATTAATTTCAATAAATTATATTATATAATTTAATATTTATAATGATTGATTTTAATTATAATTATTAGTCAAATTTAAAAAAACACACACGCACACAGATGAGATAGATTAATCTAATAAAAAAAAAGAAATTATCCAGCGTGTACATATAGGTCCATGAACCTCCTTTTTCATGGAACATAATTGGCAAGTGATGAGCCAGCATATAATATTGATATGATCCCCCATATTTGCTTTGAATTATTATTTATGCGCAGCACATTGGCCCACATTGGCCATGTATCGGTTCAATGTCATGTGCTGTACTGTTCCCCCCCTAATAAAGATATGATGTACTATTGAATACATACCCCACACCACGAACATTTGAATTGTTGCATCAAATTCAAACACTAGTACCATCTTTTTAACTTTTTATATACTACGAGTCTACCACACAAATTAGAATTCAAATGTTTAAATTAAAATACTATTAAGTTTTAGTTAGAGTTGAATACACATGTATGGTTGTCTTATACATGACACCTTTTTATTTAATATTTGGATATTATAAAAAAATTGAAACTATCCATTAGATTAATGGATATTTAATCACAAAATCAGGATCATGACATCCTTATTGACTTTTCGATGGTAGGCCCATTAGTAAAAGCTACAATTAACAACGAACCATAGTTGCTAATATCCACAGATTAACGGATATCTAATATGTAATTTATTCGCTTTACTCTGTTATTATAAGATATTTCTTTTGTTTTATGATACATTGTTCGTTTATCTATGTGATAGATTTTCACTTCGTTCGTATCTGATTTATGATTATTCGGTGGTTAGATTTTTTTTATAGTTGCTTATCGATGTTTTCATATCTATTTTGCGAAGAGCATGTAAGTTTGCTTTGGTTCGTTTGTCACTTTTTCATTATCTCTAAAGATTCTAATTGGATAGAAACAAATGAATACTATCAACGATTATTGAGTTACTATAAATAATGAGCGTCAGATTAAAAAAAAAAAGCTTTTATTATTATTGCACCTTTAGATATTTTATTTTATTTTATGTTTGAGGCTTTAGTGGACATAGTTACAAAATTTCTCCGTGATTGGTTACATTGTTAAGGTTATATCTTCTTTTGTTTCAATAAAATCATCATTGTTTCAAGGTCCAGAAATTAAACATCTTATAACATTTAATCTTTAAAATTATAAAATGATGATTTTAATATTACAATAATTATAAATTTCGATAAATTTAATAAACATCTTATAACAGTTCAATAAAATTTAATGACTATTTTGTATTAATTTTATAAAGCGTAACAAATATTTTGTGACAGTTTAACAATTCTAAAGATCATTTTATAATTTATAGAAAATCAACGACCAATACAATTATTTGAACAAAGTTCCATAATATTTGATGTATTTTTATTTTAAATCATTTAAAATTATAAAAATATATTTAAATTATTTTATTATAAAATAATATAAAGTGACATAGACCATACTATCACGTTAATAATGAAAATATATAAGAATTGACATACAAACTTTCACTTTCAACATTATAAAAGATTTAAGGGTAAAATATATTATAAAAAAATAAAGTATGTTCAAATGATAATTTTGATAATTGAATATTTAAAGTTATAAAAAATAAATTATAATATTATATCATATCAATAAATAAGTAAATACAATATATAAGAGAAAATAACCTCAGTGACCAAAAATCGTAGATAATATACGATTTTGATCAACTTTTTTTGGATTTGCGAAAATGACCAACAAAATCGCAATGCGATCTCTAATTCGCATTGCGATCTCCACTATCGCAAATTCGCGTTGCATTTCGCGTTGCGATAATTGAAAATCGCGTTGCGATAGTTGAAAATCGCGTTTCGATTTTGCAGTTCGCGTTGCGATAGTCTACAGTTGTCGTTGCGATTTTCCAAATTCGTTGCGAAAATTCGTTGTGATAGTTAAAAAAAAAGATTTTGTTTCTTAAGAATTTTCTCTAAAAAGATAGTATCCGCGAGGACGTGTCGAAGACACATATTACCACGACCACGACCACGACCCGAGACGAGACGGCGGCGGCGGCGACGCGCGAGAGTCCCCCTTGTTCTCTATCACTCAACAAGGAAGTGGGAAAGCCAAGCCTTAAATATCATTCTCAATAGTGTTTCCAATACTATGTGGGATTGAGCATTACCAACACTTGTTTCCAATACAATGTGATTATTCAGGAAACAATTAACAATCATGCACCTTAAAACAACTGAATCAGCAACCAATTGCATTAGTATTATACGATTAAATATGTCATAATTAAAAGTCAATCTACAATCAATCGCGATTATTGCAATTTTAAGCAAAACATTCAAAAATAATATCACTATTTAAGGCTCAATCCCACATAGTATTGGGAACAAGTGTTGGTAATGCTCAAATCCCACATAGTATTGGAAACACTATTGGGAATGATATTTAAGGCTTGGCTTTCCCACTTCCTTGTTGAGTGATAGAGAACAAGGGGGACTCTCGCGCGCCGCCGCAGTCGCCGTCCGTCTCGTCTCGTGGTCGTGGTCGTGGTAATACGTGTCTTCGACACGTCCGCGCGGATACTATCTTTTTAGAGAAAATTCTTAAGAAACAAAATCTTTTTTTTTTACTATCGCAACGAATTTGGAAAATCGTAACGACAACTGTAGACTTTCGCAACAACAACTGTAGACTATCGCAACGAATTTGGAAAATCGCAACGATAATTGTAGACTATCGCAACGAATTTGAAAATCGCAATGACATTGTAGATTATCGCAACGCGAAATGGAAAATCGCAACGCGAAATGGAAAATCGCAACGCGATTCTCAACGCGATTTTCAACTATCGCAACGCGATTTTCAACTATCGCAACGCGAAATGCAACGCGAATTTGCGATAGTAGATATCGCAATGCGAATTAAAGATCGCATTGCGATTTTGTTGGTCATTTTCGCAAATCCAAAAAAAATTGATCAAAATCGTATATTATCTGAAATTTTTGATCACATCATAGTAATTAGAAAACTTAATAAAACTTAATTATATTTTATAATAATTTAATAATTATTTTTATAATGATGTGATAAAATAAAATAATAAAAAAGGACATATAAGCATGGGTAATAGTAAATTAGCGGCGGTGGTGGAATCTCTCCTTCAACTACTTGCCGAAATGAAAGTAAAAAAAAGAAAAAGCTCAGAAACACGCTCTCATTTCTCAGTAACACATCAGAGCAATCGATTTTTAAGGTAGAGACCCCAAAAAAAGGTTTTTTTTTGTAAGACACGACATCAGCCAAACGTTCAACTACATTAGTCTTTTTCCAGTTTTCTGTTTTAACTGATTGTGTTTTTCTAAGACACCCACAAAGAATTTAACGGTGAAGATCGATTAGAAAGTCGCCGTGAATGTTTTTACTATGCTACAGTTCATCCATTGCCCTGGGCGGGAAGAAAGGACCAACTCCATTTCAAAAACTAATAATAATAATAGACAATTTGCATAAAGTATTTTGAATTTTTTTGAACAAAGAGAAAAAGTATTTTTATTTTTATTTGAGTTTGAGGCGTCCAACTCTTTCACATCCACAAACCACATGCTGTTTATTTTTCATATGTTATAAGAGAGAGAGAGACAGAGAGAGAGAAAACCCGAAGAGAACAAGAAAGCAAAGAAAAGGCCAAGAAATAGAAACCCAAATTATCTGAAAAACTTGATTAAACTAGTGTTTTTTATTACCCGATTATCCACAGACATTCCACAGATTTTCTTGCAGAGTTTGTTTAGTGTTTTTTTTAACTCTTTAAAACTAGGATTTCAAATCTGAACCCTACTTCTGTTTCCCATTGTTTCTTTCTAGTCCCACATCTGGCTTTAGGTTCTTTCTTCACCTCCGGTCATAGGTATTCGATCTGTGTCAGCTCAGCTGCTCCGATTCTTTCAAATTGTTTTTGTTTCTCTATTTCATTTCTAGTTGGTTCTATATATGGATTTTATTTAGTTTTTTTTTTATGAAATCTCAGGAAGAATCTCTTTAGCTTTAATGGGTGCCTCAGGCTTAGGATCCTAGTTACTGGGTTCTTGATTTCTGGGTATTTCTACTCAGCTATTTTTTCATTGATTGAATTTCATCTTGCATGGCATTGCTTTTTTATTCAAGTGGTTGGTGTCTGGTGATAGTGTTTATTACAAAAAAAATAAAAACCTTTTTGGGGTGTTTAAAAGTTTTATCTATTGTTGTTGGGGTTGGACAGTTAGAGGTTTAGATTTGAAGCAAAGTTGAGAAAATGAATAAGTCAAGTAATGTTATTTTTTTAATGTTTTAGATTGTTGAAAGTTCTGTCTGTTTTAAAGGATTTACTCGTGTTCTTTTAGTAAAACAGATTTTGTCATAGGTTGTCCTATTGATTCCTATCCTTTAAAAAGATTTTCTGGTGTGTATACGGTGACATCTTTGAACTAAGTTTGGCTTCTTAGTGTGTATGTGCAGATGAACAATCTCTTATGAGCAAATTGGTGCTCGATAGTTGGAATTTGCTATGGAAAAAAGGAACTGGTTGTGGAAGAAGAGGTCTTCCGAGAGAAGTCGTGGAGAAACTGAGAGTTCCGGATCGTTGTCATCACATTCCGAGAGATACTCCGATGATCAGGTAGCTCTTTGTGTGTAAATTAACCGTTGTTGGTTAAATGCTAATGTGAAATTCTGGAGATTTTCTGTTTGTATCATTTATATATGTATATTTTGCTCTCAATTTTCGTTACGACGATTCTTTCTATTGTCCGACTTGGATAGCAGACAAATGAAATACTTGAAGAATGAATATTATTACATTATCTTATCCCTTTCCAACATTTCTTTTTCATAGCATTAGTCAGCTGTCGGAATATGCAAGTTCAAGCGTCAATGTTACTCGCGTCTTCATTTTCCTTTAAGCATCAATGTTCTTTATCAATATTCTTTTCAGATTTTCTTCTATGTTGCTCGTGAGCAACTGAAACCAATATTATTTTTTCTTGTTTTATTTCTATGATCGAATTAAATTATGCTTAAGTTTTCGAGTAAGCTAGTCATTTTCTGGTTATTTGATCCAGAATTCAGCCTGTTTTTTCCCAGTTTAAGATTGATTTTCATCTCTAATTGTTGAATTAGTATGCTTCCAAGGTGTCTCCACTGCCGAATAATGACACCCTATCGTCTGAACTGTCGTCGACGGCTTCACACAATTCCGAAGAAGTTACCGATAGCATTAAGATCCTGACGGAGAAATTATCAGCTGCACTAGTTAATATTAGTGCCAAAGAGGACTTGGTGAAGCAACATTCCAAAGTTGCAGAAGAAGCTATTGCAGGTATAACGTAGGGTCACATGCTAGTAAACGTGCTCTAAGATGATGTATTCATTTTTCAGGTTCATCTTTGTTGTGTTAGTTGTGGTCTACTCTTTATCTTTGTTACTTGAACTCAAGAATGAGTGTTGGATACGGATACATGCTCTCACGGGAGCGATGAATTCTAACAACATAGCTTACCATGGTCTACTTGGTTGTTTTAAACTTTAGGCTGGGAGACTGCAGAAAATGAAGTAGTGGTGTTGAAGCAAAAACTCGAGGCTGCAGTTCAGCAAAACTCGGCTTTAGAAGATCGTGTAAGCCATCTTGATGCAGCTCTCAAGGAATGTGTAAGGCAGCTAAGACAAGCAAGAGACGAGCAGGAGGAAAATATCCGTGAAGCTGTTGCGAAAGCTGCCCAGGATTGGGAAACTACCAAATCCAAACTCGAAAGCCGGTTGCTTGAGCTCCAAGCTAAAGCTATTATTTCCGAGCCCCCTCCGCAGTTCAATCCTAAACTTTGGCGAAAGATCGAAGATTTAGAGAAGAAAAATGAAGACCTCAAGCTTGAGCTCTCATCTCAATTGGAGGAGATGGAAATCAGAACAATTGAAAGGGACTTGAGCACCCAAGCAGCTGAAACAGCTAGCAAACAACACTTGGAGAGTATAAAGAAGGTAGCAAAGCTCGAGGCCGAGTGTCGAAGACTCAAAGCCATAGCTGGAAAATCTCTGAATGCCTCTTCAAGGTATGCCGAATCCCTTACAGATAGTCAATCAGACAGTGGAGAACGGGTTAATCTCGTGGAGATTGATAATCACAAGATGAGTGGCTTAGAGGCAAACAGAGAACCTGGTTGTTCTGATTCTTGGGCATCAGCCTTAATTGCAGAACTTGATCAATTCAAAAATGAAAAGGTTGTCAACCGAAACCTCCTGGGTTCTTCCATTGAGATTGAGCTCATGGATGATTTTCTTGAGATGGAACTACTCGCTGCATTGCCTGAAACCAAGAGCGAAAACCAATGTCTTGAATCGAGAGCTACTGCAAAACAATCTAATAACGATGGTGATAGCTTGTTGAAGGCTGAGCTTGAGGCCATGACCCATCAAACAGCGGAACTCGAAGAGAAGTTTGAGAAGATAGACGTTGAGAAGGCTGAACTAGAAATTGCTCTTACCAAAACCAGAGAAAGTCTCGAAGCATCGGAGCTGCAATTGAGGGACACCGAAATGAAATTGGAGGAGTTGAGAAGGGAGCTCTGTAATGCAAATGATGCAAAGCAACATCTCGAATCTCAACTTGAGAACATGGAAGCAGATGTAGAGACAATGTCAACAAAGATTAACTCATTAGAAAAGGAAAGGGCTTTGTCTGCAGAGGTTTCATTTAATGCAAATGAAGCAAAGAAAACCTTGGAGTCTCTACTCATTAGCATTGAAGCAGATGCTCGAACAATGTCTGCAAAGATGGATTTATTAGAAACAGAAGTTGAAAAGGAAAGAGCACTGTCAGCGCAAGTTACTGTCAAGTGTCAAGAACTGGAAGAAGAGCTGTCGAGGAAGCAACAGGAAGCTGAGCTACGGCAAAGCGTTAAATCAAATGTTGAAGTGAAGATAAAACAGGTAACTCTTCAGCCTTCCCATTGATTATAGATTTAATGGAGTTCTATAAACATGGGATATTATATCTGATTGTCCTGAGACACCATGGCAGGAGGACTTAGCTACTGCTGCTGGAAAACTTGCTGAGTGTCAAAAGACTATAGCATCTTTAGGACAACAACTGAAATCTCTTGCAACACTGGAAGACTTCCTAATCGACACCACGAGCATACCTGAGTTCCCTACAAAAGGATCATTGATTCCTAAAGCTGGTGGAGAGCCTTGGAATTTACGTTCCAATGAAGCATCTTCACCCAAAAGAGATCCGGAGTCTCCAAGAGTTAGTGCTGATAAGAACAATGGAAACACACCCCCATCGTCATCCTCGTCTTCATCGATTGTGTCGTCCAATCATGTCAGTTCCGAGAAGAACAGAAACAGGTTTGCAAAATTTTTCACTCTGAGTAAGAACGGGATACAACTGGAAATTTAAATCACTTGGACAAGTTGTAAAATTGTTGTGTCATTTCAAAGACGTGATTAAATGCTGTTTAATCACAGGTAATTATTAGTTCACTGATAGATTGTCTCAATCTATACTATTCGTGAATGGTTGTGTTCAAATTGAAATTTCAACATTCATTTCATGAAAATGAATGCCTTCTGATGTTCCTTTTTTTTTTTTTAATTTTTAGTTGCATTCATTTCTAAATTTCTACTTACTTCCTGAAAGAGCTACAGCCAACAAGATTGTTTTTAAAAGAAAAAAGTTGAAGACAAAAAGATTATGGGGTGAGAGAGGCTCGAACTCTCGACCTCAGGATTTCTCAGAAGCTATGAGACCTACGCGCTAGCCAACTGCGCCACCACCCCATGTTGTAATATGTTTATTGAATTTTTAAAAATAGTAAGATACTTTCTGAAACACAGAAGAAAGGAGAGCAACAGGCAAGCGGATTTGTTTTTGAAAGAAAAAAGTCAAGGACAAAAAGATTAATGGGGTGAAAGAGGCTCGACCTCAAGTAACTCGGAAATTATGAGACCTACGCGCTAGCCAACTGCGCTACAACCCCCTGGTGTTCATCCCTTATAGTATTTATTTATAAATATTTTAACCTACTTACTGAAACACACAAGAAAGGAGATCAACAGCCAAAAGGATTTGTTTTTGACGCCTGCATCTGGTATTCTAGGATACTGGAACCCTTATCCTATTTGTCATGGAGTTTCAACCACCTTGTATGGTGCTATCGACCATCGAAGCCTGGGAAATTGGAAGGACAGACTACCAAAGAATGCGCAACACTTGTGGGAACCGTTTTTCGGTTGGGTCAGGAGTTGAGCTTCGACTTGAATTGATAGGGTTAGAGTCGTCACCGATCATTTTAAAACGATATTTAGGTAGATCGAACACCATCTTACATGATCTGCGTTTTACCAGAAATGTATCGGGCTCGGGAGTCGGTTACGGTTAAAGAAATATTAGCACCCTTGAACCGTCCTTTCGGTACCAATTAATTTATCAGTTATCTTTAATTGCGAAAAATAAAATTTAAAAAATTCGATTCGAATTAATTACTTTTGATCGGTTAAAATTGTCCCTAAAAAAAACTAAAAAATGTTAGATTAAAAAAATACTAAATGAATTAAGAGAAAAAATGTTAAACAATGTGTAAATATGGTACGCTTAAGAAAACGTGGTCATCTTTATCAGCAACAAACGTGGCCCCACTTAAGAAATGTGATGTCCATTCACCGAGCTTGGTTTTAAAATTTTCAAGAATCAAATGTGGATAAGCTTCAAGCATTGCTCCCCATTTCTCAATTGCTTTTTCTCAACGTTGAACCGTACACCTTTCGCAATCATAGAATTGCATCCACCGCACCATATATTGAAAGGCATTTTCGAACCACAAAGCAAAACAAGAATGAAAATCATATACCATTTACAAAGAACTTTCCAGACCAAAAGTAAACTTGGCATGGTTAATGGAAATCAAAACAAGTCTGCTGTCACTTAAAAAGTTATAAGGGTAATAGATTATATCCTAGATACGGATTCCATGCAACAACTATTGAACAAGATAAATTTACAAAGCCACACTTTGCTTAGATCGTCTCAGCTATAAGTCCAAGCGTATAGAACTTATTGTTTCTTTTTGCAAGAAGAAAATAAAAGAAAACGAATAGAGAAAGATTCCTTTCTTAAGTGAAACAAACAATTAAAGAATTTTGGGTCAAAAAAAATAATAACAAACTAGTAAAAGCAAATAAAAGTAAATAGACCACTAACAGTGGTCAGTAAGGGTAAACTTCAGAAAGGAATATCAGGATGGCTTGCGAGCGCAGTTGGAGTAAGCAACAGATCTGAACTTCTTGATACCACCGTTTGGTCGGACGTCTTCAATGAAGTAACTAGGGATGGCAATGGGTCGGGTCGGGTTTTTGGGCCACCCGACTCGACCCGAAAAGAAAGGGTCTTCTACCCGTGACCCGACCCGACCCGACAAAACTATAATTTCACCCGACCCCGACCCGACCAGATAGACAATTTTAAAACCCGACCCGACCCGACCCGAATTTATTTTTATTTATTAAAAACAGACCCGACCCGACTCGATCATATCCGACCCGATTTTAATGTTTATTTATCCCAGCAGCCATTGGAGCTCTTCCAAAGCTCCAAGTCTTTCACTTGCTCATAACAAGCAATCAAGCAGTTTGATGAACGCAATGTGCTTAGCAAAACACGGTTTGGGTTAGTTTTCATTTTTCAAGGCTTGTTACAAATTACAATCACAGATCACAGAATGGTGCTCTCTAATAGAAACGAGGGATATTAAATATATTAGTACATATAGTTCACAATTACCGCTTTCAAAACTAAATTCATAATTAAAATACATTCAGATTATCATCCTTATAAGATACATCTCATATGGTGCTCTCTATCCCTATCAAAACTAACACTTAAAAACTCAACATGGAAACAATTTTATAAATCCATAATTAAAATACATGTTCACAATTAAAATTATAAATCCATACAATACTTAAATAAGTTAAAAGTTCAAACATAAGTATAATAAAACGAGACATAATACGGATGTTCGATGGAAAAAACATCCATTACCATCGGCTTGACAAGTTCACATTCTTCAATCTTAGCTAACCACTCAAGTAGTCAAATCCTATAAAATAAAATTATAAATTAATATTTTAAAAAAAGATTATGATAGGAGTAAAGTAACAAATATGAAATTATTACTTACAGTATCTCATCTTGTTCGATCTCATCATCTTCATAAAAGTTGCCCTCATTTGAGTTTGATTCTAAAACATCGTAAATGAAAATAAAATCTAATAAGAAATAATGACAAAACATATAAGTAAAACAATGCAAAAATTACTTGATAAATATGTTTGTACCTTCTTCGGCCCATAACCAATTTTGACAACAAGCCAAAGCTTCTACAGTTGAATGATGAAGTCTATTACGTTGTGCATTCACCAATCTCCCTCCATTACTAAAAGTAGACTCCGAAGCAACAGTAGAAACCGGAATGGCATAAATATCTCTTGCAATAGCTTGCAATATAGGAAATTGTGGCCCAATTGTCTTCCACCAAGTCAATATATCAAAGTCCGACGTCCTAGAAATAACATCCACTTCTAAGTAACGGTCTAACTCAGATATGACTTGTGTTTTCTTTTGTCTCTTCCTTGAAACGTAAGCATCAAAATCACCTGGGTTACCCAAATCAACTGGAACACTATCCAAAGATGCACCGTTGAAGGGTTGAGGTTCATTCTTTGAGGACATTATTCTTTCTTCATACTCTGTGACCAAATCCCGACATAATTGCACAATTCTTTCAACTTCATGTTCAGCAGTAACCCCATAAATATTTTCAAAGTAATACTCCAATAATGTTGTTTTGTACCTTGGGTCTAAAACTGTGGCAACACCCATGATACCATTCATATCGTTCCAATATTTCTCAAATTTCTCCAACATGCACTTTGCCATTCTCGAAATAATGATATCACTATGTGTAATCCACTTATTCAATGCCACCCTAATCCTACAAATACTCAGAAAATAAAGATTTGCTGTAGTAAATTTTGTACCTGAAAAACCTTCGGTGATCTCGTAGAATAACTTCAACTTATCACAGATCACCGATGCAAAAACCCAATCATCATCTGTTGGCAAGTACTTGTACAAAGGGTCACGATGTAACTGCACACAACGAGTAAAAACATCCTTATAAGATAAAGCTGTTTGGAGCATCAAAAAGGTAGAATTCCATCTTGTTCTAACATCAGAACATAGTTTTTTTGTAGTTGAAATACGCAATTGTCGTGCCGCCTCTTCAAATCGTTCCCACCTTTTTGGGTTAGCGCTCCAAAAAAGAACACTATGACGGATTCTTTCTATACCATCTCCAATCACACTTAATCCATCTTTAACAATCAAATGCAATATATGTGCACAACAACGCATGTGGAAAAAAGCTCCGTTAAGCAATAGCGTATTAGCTCCCATCCTATCAACCAACAACTTAATGACACCATCATTCATACTACAATTATCAACTGTAATAGATGTGAGTTTCCTATCAATATTCCAATCTAAGAAACATTTCATCAAACTAGAAGCAATGACATCAGTGGTATGTGGAGTTGGTACATATTCGAACCTAATAAAACAACAAATAAAATGAATTAATTTTAAACATATCGAAACATAACTAAATGTATAAATATATTTAAACAATTACCTTATAACGCGCTTTTGTAAACTCCAAGAGTTATCAATATAATGTGCAGTAACAGCCATATATCCTTTATTTTGGTGGTCTGAAGTCCACATGTCAGTTGTTATAGCAATTCTGCCTTCATTAGCCTCCAACTTTGACAACATATTTCCCTTATCCTTTTCGTACAGATCCAAAATATCACGTTTGATAGTATTGCGAGTAGGCATTTCAAACATAGGTTGTAGATAGGGATGGCAACTCAACCCGAATCCGACGGGTTCCGACTCGACCCGACCCGATCGGGTCGGATTTTTTTAAAAAAAATTTGGGTTCGGGTCAGGTCGGGTCGGGTTTTTTTTAAATGCACTGTTCGGGTCGGGTCGGGTCGGGTTTAGGGTAAAAAATCCGACCCGACCCGACCCGAAAATATATATAATTTTATCTTATATATTTAGGGATAATTACAATAATATCCCTCCATATATAATTTTTTTCAATTAAGTCACTGTTTTCATTGAATTAAAATTTTATTTATTATTTCGGGTCGAGTCGGATGAAACATTAATTTTGTCGGGTCGGGTCGGGTCACGGGTGGAGAACCCTTTCTTCTCGGGTCGGGTCGGGTGGCCCAAAAACCCGACCCGACCCGACCCATTGCCATCCCTAGTTGTAGACTAGAACAATACTTTCTAAACTGTGAATGATCCACTATCAATAAAGGATATTCATGCATGATTATCATCTTCGAAAGCTCTTTCCTTGCCACATCTTGATTAAATGAGAAAGCCCCTATTGTTAATTTTCCATCCGACTTCTTTTGATTAGCTATTAAGACTTGTTGTCGAATGTCTACTTGAACTCGCTTCTTGCACCTT